TTTATGTTCCTCGTATCTTAATAGTATAGAATAAAACTGCAGTTGTAGGGTGGGTCCGCGCAAGGCACTAACCCCAGAGCCTCACAGCTTAAGCTGTTCTTGTTACCAGAACTTTAAAAGCGTTTAGCGTCGCCAGTTTTGAACGAACGTGCAGGAAATTTTGTGCACATAAACTAGAGGATTTCCAACAACCGTTCATCGCCCTTTTTTAAGTTGGACCCCTAGGTTTCCTCTACACCTACAAAATAAAACAGGGGTTTTAGCAAGGACTGTACATTATTGCCATTACCACTAGTAGGACACGTCGCATGGATGGCGCGGTCGGTTAAGGATGTGTTCTAAAGAAGTTAAGGTTGTGAGTTCGAATTTTGGTTTACAACTATTTTTTTACAATATTTATTTTTTTCAATATTTTAATTTTGTACAAATGGACATTCTAAATATCAATTTCTAACATGCTAATTATTTAACAAATTCTATAGTATCTTCTTCCAAAAAACCCAATGTAATAACTTGCGCCTGAACCGTATTTAAGCATGGACTTTTTTAAAAACAAACGCGGGAAGCTGACATAATTGAAAACATATAGGCCTACATTTATTTAACGAAATTTTTGGCAGCACCTGCGCATTTTACAACCCACGGATCGTTAAGTATAAATAATATTACACATTATGAAATTAATTAAAATGATTGCATTTCATTTTAAGGAGCTCTTAGATTTATATTATTGAGTGTGGTTTGCAAAAACATGTGCCTACGATCAACTATACGGAATGTCATTACACAACAAATCTTTAGCTCTATTATGTTGTTAATGTCGTACTCTTTACATGTTCACTCAGATATTCCGGTATATATTGCCATTGCATTACCGGGCCCAATTTTCAAATTTGCTATGTTTTAAAATAGTGAATAAAAATGACTCTCCACAAACCAATTTTAGATCAGAGTCTCTGGTCTAAAAAATGGAGGCCGGAACAACAACACAACAATAAATGCCGCAATTAATATATTCATGTAGGTCCCTACTGGCTTGTAAAACTACAGTACGGCATAGTGCACGCACGTTTTACTTACCTATGTGTAAATTTTCCAATCTTAGAAGAAACACCATTCCGAAATTCAGTATTTTAGACGATGTTTTTGTCGACGACATGTCTGCAATATACAGTAGTTCACATACAAGCTTGTTTTCATCGCAATTTAGATGTTAGCAGACAGGTGCACAACCAAACCAGGCACCTGAAAGAAAATTCCTACCAGGGTACTAACCTAGAAATTATTAGTTCAGCGACAACCCCTAAATAGCGCCTCCCTTTGAATTGGTCTAGCCATTGGAGACGAAACCTCACCACCGTCCCTCCACCGGCCCCTCCCCTGCCCCACTCGGATAGGCCTAATGCAGTGACGACGCCAGAGATGATGAAGATACATTAAAAGAGGAAAACAACACAGAATGTTGACTCATAAATACCGGAAGGGTGCCCGGCGGGGGATAGTTGTTACCATGTAGCTTTTAATTAATATACTGTAATTAATATAAATTCCACTAAAAGACTGACACTCAATAAATATAGGAAGGAATTGCAAATACTAGGAGAGACTGCCTACACCCACTTCCCAAATGGGGAAGAGGCAAAAAAATACAACGATGCAGCAACTCTAAATGCCACCTTGGGCCTGGGGTGAGATGAAAAAATATTAAAAAAAAATATAGGTTTGAGGCAACTCTATTATTAATATCAGATTTTCTTTCCTCAGTAGTTGCAACTGATGGAGTTAAAATATATTAAAACTGATTGAAAACGCCACTGATGTGGTCGTCATTTAAAACAATGCATTTGATTACCTCTGTTCACGTCTGCTCATTGTAGGCCTATTTTCTGTTTTCAGTATTCGTGTTATAATGTTCTTTTAAAACTTATCCACCAAATTATGTTACTACCACACGAAAAGTTATAATAATAATTGAAAACAACATTTATTATTTTAATACTATAGGCCTAATTGGGAATAATACAGAGTAAACTTTAAAAAGTGTTTTATTTGTTCGTTGTTTCAACCATAGGGGAATTATAGACATATTTAATATTTTTAAATCATTATTTTTTTCAAAGGATCATAAGTCTTTAATTCGGATTGTAGGTCTGTTATGTTATAATGTATATAAATATGCATTGTGTTATAAGGCGTTGTAGTGGTGATATGATTGAAGAAATTGATGGATAATTGTTTCGGTTAGAATTTGAATTGATAATGTTCCTCCTTGTATAACATCATTTGAATTAATGTCAGGAAAATCGTGGTGAATATATATATCATTCAATAACCGTCCACAACATGAGTGCTGATTTCATGTGAAACAGGCAACAATTTTCACAACTTTTCTGTCAGGAAAGTGCCCGCCCTAGTGTCGATGAATGTTGAGATATCAGCAAAAGGTGTATCTGTCAAAAGAACGACTAGAGGTAATTCAGTCAAAAAGTGCCGTCTTTACAATTAAGAAAAAAAACGTCGGCGAATTGGCTGTCGGCAAAAATTGGCTGTCTTCGAATTGGCTGTCGGAAAAATGGTCCAGTCGGCCGAAAAGCATGTCGACGAAAGTCAATTCGGCCAATTGTCTGGCAGCGAAATATCTGTCGACGAATTGACATTTGGCGGAGCATCTTGTCACGAGTTCTACCTGCGTTATATTATATTTATTTAATATATTATTGTTTACAGTTTGTTACTACTAATTAGAACTGACTCTTACAACTCCATTTCAATAAAAGTTATGTTTAAAATGTCTACAAAAGAATACTGAACCATCTCTACCTCCCATCCGAACGAAGAGATAATGGACCATTCCGCTTACACTCAACCCCTAAATATTGTAAATAAGGTCCCACAAAACGACAGAGTAAATGATGTAAGTAAACAAGCGCGCATGGGCGTCGATCGGTGGGGACAGGGGGACACGTCCCCCACTTTTCAAAGTAGCGGGAAACATCATGTCAATTGTCACCCCCACTTTTCACCAATCTTTTATTGTATAAACCCCACTTTTCACCAATCTTTTATTGTATAAACCCCACTTTTCAAAGCGAGTGGAAAGAACAACAATTACGAATGACTGTCATGAATTGTGTCTCTTTCACTCTGTTGCGTATTTCCGGACCAATACTGAGTAAAAACGTAATTGTTTGTACATTTCGTAACCATCTCAGTAATCTGAGGCCAAATGAAAACAATGTACTGTACGTTGTTAAAATTGGAAGTGTGTAAACCATAATTAGGCAACATTTTTACAACCTCAAAAACAACATTGAACATATAACATTGAATTGAAACTAGCATAGGAACAACAGGAATCTATGTATGCAGATAATATTAAACACTAGTATATACGAGTCTCAATAATATACAAAACGAATAAATCGTTTACAGTGGAAATTGTGCACTTTTGTATGGAACGCCGTTCAAGCAACAATTCCATGATGAATCAAGTGAATCGTCGATGATGAATCAAGTGATTAATGTCTGCTTCTTATCTTCTTAGTCCTGTTTGGTCGTAAGTTAGACGGTAGTATTTCCACTCACAGTAGTGTCGTCGCAATACTACTTGCACAAAACTGAAATTCTAAAAAAGGAGAAAAGGAAAAACCTGTTTGATTTTAAAAGTACTGCGGGCCTACTGTAAATGCAGTGACTATAGAGTTAGTTCGAATACGTCACAAGCTAATCAGTAGATAATAAATAATTATTTTAATGAATGTTATATTTTGCACGAAATATGAAAGCGGGCATGATTATGATTACCGGGATAAATAGAAAACAAATTTATGATGAGTATTTCAGTGGCAGATCCAAGGGGTCCAGACGGCCCACCTCCCTATTTTTTCCAAATTTGAAATTATATTCAAATTTTAGTCTGAGAGTGCCATTTCCGGCCAACCATGGTTGGGGCTGAGGTGGTCTACACTTCATCTGTAAAAATCCATCCCTGCCCCTCCCCTGGTCTTTCTGGCCATGTGTACCAATAGGCCAATTGTGAAGGTTGACAATCCCGAAAGGTCCATTCCTCTACGAACAGAATTGTTTATGCCTGTTGATACTGTGCACTAAGTGTCCATAACAATCAGACATATACTTTTATGCATTGTTTGGATGCATTATGCATTTATTTGGATGCTACTTTATTTTAACGCGTTTGCCATTAGCAATTTTTGGTTTCAGGGGTCAGCCTTGTATATAGCCTATAAGCCTGCTTGTTGCGGATGCCCCTTATGTGTGTTACAAGGTAAGGTCTTGATACTGTTAAGCACGCCCTCCAATTGCGATGAAATAACTTACTACGTTAGGGGCGCTCTCTAACTGCATGCATGGCTCTGTTGATGTCAAGTGAACATTTTCCAAAACGACGAAATTTAAGATAGCCACCAACCCCGTGCTAGGCCTATATCTTTTTTAGAATATAAAAATATAATTAGGCCTATTCAGTGCTATAAAATAAGTATGCTTATGCTAGTTAGCCTATATTATGTCATGCAGATCTTATCTCTTCTCCATCTCATTCAAAGCTTTTTTTTTTTTTTTGACAGTGACACCTTGTATATTATTATTTGTATATTTTTTATATTGGCGCTAAAGTCCTTGTTGATCGAGCCGATTGAGTAGGCATATTATATAAATAATAGCTAATACATGTCTAGGTTACGTGCAGAAAACGATAGCACAGTAGAGATATGGAATTTACATGCTTTATGAAAAATATTAATGGCACTCTGAAAATGATTCCACTCGCACTCCTGGTTTTCGAACATTATCACGCAATTCGTAATTATACACCTAAAGTTTTGTTCTTTAACTGGAAGTGGTTTATTTTTTCTTGGTCACTAACTCCATACCCCACAAATCCCACACCTTCCTTCAATGGCTGAAATGAGTACAATATTTATTAATATTAATAATAGTCTCTAGTGAACCTTTATTGTGTTTGTTTCTCACTTGTTTATTGTCTCTGCTATGTACTGTAAAATTTTATGGGTGATTTTACTTTTATAATAATTACGTAATTGTTCTTTTTTTTCCATGTACAGTATTATAATGCCAAGTGGATGATGTTCAGTATCAAAACACTATCATTTTCAAGGGGCAGTCACATTAAATCTAGCTCTGGGATCCTAATGTTATCGGACTTGTACTCAGCCAGTAAATTTCAACCAGCTAGTAAATTTCAACCAGCTAGAATAACAACAACACAAGAAGAAAACAAAAAAACACTTTAACATGTTAACATAGAGAGTAGTGTTAATTTACCAAAACTCAATAATCATAGGAGCATGTACAATGCATTAGCATCCCAACATAATAATATAATATACCAACATTCACATAAACAACATAACTCAAGTCATCTATATACAAAATGTGGCCAAATGTAATTATCGCCCTCCTAAAAGAAAAAAAAAACTCAAATAAATTAAACCACCTATTCATACAATGTGAAAACTCATCAAAAGTATTGTGAAATCTTATAGAGGGCGCTATAGCACTAATAAAGCCCACTAAAATCCCTTAAGGTGATATCATCACTAAAAATGTCTACAGTATTTCCAAGAATGTTGAAACAGACAGTTTGATTGGACAATACTTCCTCTTGATATTCTGTAGACACTTCCACCCTTCATTTTACTCAAACTTAATCACCAACACTTGATAAGTCTTGTATACACAGTATGCATATGATACTAATTCTCTCTAGCTCCTATGTACAGCAATATTGCATATTAATTCTCAATTTAAAAACCATGTTTATTTTTGTAATCCTAAACTGAAATATATATGTCATCAAATCCAGGAGTGTTTCAGGTTTATTGGAATAAGACTGTTGTGATGTAATATAACCTCTATGCCTTATGAATATACATAATTATAATACATGATCTTAATATGTACAAGGTAATGACACTTTTGTCTTTGTCACTTAAGTACAAATTGACACCAAAAAATTAACTTAAAGTGACCAGATTTTATATTCAAGGTTACAACAAATAAATAAAAACAATATAAATTCAAGCATTTAGAAAAGCAATGTAATAGCTGCAGTACATTTCTCATGAATAGTTGTGTCAGATGTTATTGTTATATAAAACCATACAACATGTAAGCCTACTTTGCTGGAAAATAGACGTGTAGTAAAACACTGGGGGCGACTTATACTAGTTATAAATCATAGCAAGATTTATTTAACTACTACAAGGAAAATGTACATAAAACAAGACAAACTGAACCATATTATAAAATTTATCTAAATAATCATATAGGTTACTGATATAAACCATTTGCTGCTGATAGTAATAAAATGATTTTTAATTTGCTAATGGTTCTGTTGTCACTCTTTGTCCAGTACTTAAACTATTTTGATCAGTTGTAATGAATAGGTACAAAATCTAATGACCAATCAGCTTGTTTAAAATAATGTCATCAATAGGTAAAGCAAATTAATGTCAATTGCTTTGAGGAAGATCAATGTCACAAACATGTCACTATTTGACATGTCCTTTGAACTGGTCAATTAATGTTAATGGTTGTAAAACACAAGATGAAACAGTTTTAATCCCAGTCAGGTATTTTCTTGTGTGTATTGCATTGCTAACAATGTTATTTCTGTCTTCACTCTCTTAATTTTCCCAAAAAAACTTTTGATATGTACTAAAGTATATCTATGGAATATTAAAGTATCAAAATTTGTTCCCCATTTGTAATGTCATTACAGGTATTTCTTAAATGATGCATTAAGCAGATATCAATATACATAGTTTTATGGATGCACAACTCAGTCCATTAAACTCAACAGCATGCTATTATTTATAGCACAGGCAATGGGTTGTTTGCCTATGGCTGTGTTCTAATAGCACCTGAATTAACAATACAACAAATCAACCGTTACCATACAGTTAATTCATATGCTCTGTCAAAAAAACACCCAAAAATCAGCATACATTGCTTAGTTTTGTGTGCGTGATTTTTCTACTCCATATCATTAATGGATATCCAATTATCAATAAAACCTTTTATGTACACAAGTGCTATGAGTGAAAATTCTGAGCTGTCACATAATTTGTTACCAATTAACTGTTGCATAAATATGAGTTCCCTTAAATTAGAAACTGATTACAGGACTAAACAGTATATTAGGCATCATTTACAGTTAATTATTTTAACAAGTTTCTAATGATAATTACTTTCGCTGTTATGGTAACCTTTTGTAAGGTGGTGTATCTCATACAGCAAGGAGGTTGTTAATTACTACCTCTGATTAGTATGCTCAGTTTAACAGCTAGTGGGCTAAACAGATCTGAATAACAGGATTAATATGACTATGGACTGCATTTTAATATATGATTGGACACTGATGTAGAGGCAAAAGCTTCTATCTGAGTCAATGAACCTAATTATAAACAATTTAATAGTTTGGTGTCATAGTGCCCTGTAGGTTGGCATTATCAGAGTTATGCACCATCTACATGAGTCATAGCACACCTAGAATGACAGTGGTAGTGCCCCATAGTATGACCTTTGTAGGTTTTTTTAAAGCCAATTATGATCACAACTGTCATGTTTTAGTTCCCTCTAAGATGACATTTCTAAGGCTTCTAGTACCTGCTACAGATAATATGTGCTTTTCGAATAACTATAGCCCTAACAAAACATATATAAAAGGCCACAAACAGATTTATCTATATAATTCAAAATATCCTAACCCGACTAACATTGAAGGATAAAATATTGTCTCACTTTTGAAACAATAACTCATTTCTGAGAAGTACATTATATAAAACTTTTGAAATATCATTAAAAATTCCCAACATGAAAATATGACTTACTTTATTCTGATAATGTCCTTGATTATTATATATGTACACAGTTTTGTATAATGTAAAAACATTTGTTAATTTACATGCTTTAAATTCTGTACAGCTACATGGTCACTCTACTAATAAGTATTCAACTACAAAAATAATGTGGATAAGTGATCATATATGTCATATTTCATAATCTCTCAAATTCTCTATTCATCTATACAAGAGTTATCGACGACAACCCAGATCATTGCAATACCACAACCTCAAAATACAGCATAATAATTACTTGACCTCTTAATAGAATATCTATATCAAATTCACTGCTTGTAACTTAAATGGTAATGAAGAAGATTGTGTTCACCATATTGTATGAAACCCTACAACGTTTTTGTCAGTGAAATATGTGCTAAAAATTATGGAAAGCCCTTTAAATGTTGCTAATACTTTAATTAAAGGAGCATCTATATCTGGCACTCCATCAAAACATTCTATAATTCTGTTTAGAAAAACTGTTAGTAGTTTACTTAAAATACTTTGACTTTTATTCAATCCACTGATTAAACCTCTTAGGATTCCTCCAGAAAACACACTAGATTTAAATCTTCTAAATCCAAGATAAACAGGTGAAAAATGGGAATTGGGAAGGGGGAAAAAAATCTACATTTCCCTGCCAGAATTGCCTATACAGATGGAAGATTTTTAAGATAAGATATGGTGCGTTATAAAATATGAATTAAGAAAACTGCTACAAATATTAATGGTACAAGTAATTGGCAAACAGAATTCATATCAATAGAACATAATAATAAAAGACACTGAGTATTGTATTAAATAAACAAACTGTACAGAATATGTCAGCATAGAAATGGAAAACTCATGAAATGTTTCAAACACCCTAAAAATCACTCCAATTCTACTACTGTGTATTAATATGCTTTCATTATTGGTTACAACACTACCTTCTGCTGATACCAGAGCACTCGTTCTTGTATCTAATGGTGTTGCGGTTGTCTATGTTATTTAATATATGCTGCAAAAACCTATTTTCTTCATTTTCATATATTCCAAGCTTAATTAATGAATTATAAACAGGAATGGGTCAAACACAATGTGATGAAAGACATTCCGAACATGGCAAGCGGGCTCTTATTGGTTGGATAAGTCAGCTGACTTCTATTACAGACTGTATCTGACTCAACTGCCATTCAACTCGTCATAATCCATCTCCTGAAACAAAAAATACTTAAAAATATTAATATTCAATTTAGAAGTCATTATAGAAAGAATTAAAAACAAAACAGATAACAATATTTGTCAGTCTATCAACGAAAACAGGTTACCTAAATTTATGTATGTTTTTAGTATTAGTAGAAAACTAAACATAAATACATGCAATAAAAACCATGCATTGTCATGCAAAAGAGAATAACAATTAAGATGGCTTAATATAAGAATGATATTTTGATCACTACAACATAATGGTTTTAGGCCTAAACTATTTGAGTAGGTAGTGTTAACCATGAGGTCCCCAATAAGGTAATTATAAATAGTGAGCAAGAGGAGGATTTGAAGGCTTAAAAACATTTTTTGTAGGTGAAGTTGAAAGATTCATAGTTTCTGATTGTGCTAAACATGTTATATTCCTATAGGTTCTACTTTCTTTGATGATGGATTTAGCATGTTCACAAGATTCCTTAACAATAGTTTAACAAATAGGTACTCTAAACTTTAAATCAGCCCTTTATATCACTGCATAACAAGACACTCAGCTAGGAAAATCACTATTAAAGAAATATTGTGTCTGAATTGCGTAACATTCAGTACAAGCTTTCAAAAATTTAACAAGGAAATATTTCCTTTGCCAATGAACAGGTTCATAAATAATACTGTTAATACATTCTTTGCATATTCCATTAAATTGGCTGGCAGTTAATCTTAGGATTTCCATAGCATAAACTGAGTTGTGTCTGATCGAATTTGATTTTTTGAGTTATTTCCAAAATGTACCTTATTTCATTTTTAGTAAAATTATGAAAAAAATCAACAAGATTAATATTCCTTGTAGGCCAAATGTTATTTTGATCTAGCTAAAAATTGAATGAAAATTTGAAATTGCAATCTACAAAACCAAAAGCTCCAAAGTAAAACTTTAAAAAGAGGTGGAGTGTAATAACTGCACATATGGAATGAAATAGCCTCACACGTGCAGTGAATTACCTAAATAGGTGGAATGAAGCAATTGCACAAGGCTGAACTCACTTGCAAAGGTGGAGCAAAGCACTTTCACGGGTGGAGTGAAACACATACTTGAACACTTGTGCAAGTGCAGAAACTCAACTGTGAAGTGGAGTTAACCACCTGCACATGTGAAATGAAGCACATGCACAGGTGGAAAGAAACACTTCCACAAGTGCAGAAACTCACTTACATGTGTAGAATGAACCAATATGCATTCACCTGATAAACTACATAGGCATGTACTTTTTCTTTCATGCACACATTTTTTCTTTTCATTCATCATACTACAATACTTTCTCTCTACCTTCACAGCGCTTGTATTATCCTAAATGTTTAGGTTCTCTCAAAAGACCACTGAAATAATGAACTCAAAACATCTAAAAATTGCTCTTTTAAATAAAGTGAGGAAAACAAGAAATTTTCCAAATGAAGACAAAAGTTTACAAGAAGCAAAGGTCAAAAGGAATGAAGAAAATGAAAACAAAAACAAAAAAATCTAAAAGTTAGGACAAAGAATAAACACAACTAAATGAAAAATGAAAATTTTGAAAGCAGGAATTGGGAATGGAAGTCTGTAAGCAATGGTGTCAGAGATTTGAGTGCAACATAGAATAGATGAGAACGCTTGTATCTCGCAAACATGTTACCTGCTCAATCATCGTCATCAATAAACTGGATATCATCAAAGTTCAATGCACTCTACAGAAGTGTCAACGTAAAATATAAATTGCAAAAAATAAAAATAATGAATTATAAAGGACACACTCTCCCCATACAAAAATTAAATCCTATTTTTTTTTTTGTGTGGGGTGGGGGGGATTAGGACAGCAATCTTCTTGAATGTTATTTAACATAAAAAAATAGAACTAAATTTTATAGGACTACTTTACTATAATGGTTTAAAATACTAAATTAAGAGTAAGATAAAAAAAAACTTTCAGAAGGTACAACTACCACATTTAAATTTAGGAAGAGATAAATATAACATACTGTATATACGATTCTAAGGGAGTTTACAGAGTGCATGCTAATATAATGTAAATGTATACATTATATATAAATAAAATACATATCATTCCATAAGGTAAATATAGCACATACAACATACATTATTAGAAAGGACGTTAAAAAGTATTTCACAACTCAATTTATCATTCTTTGACCAATGAACTTTGAACCTCAAAAAATGGCTATATGACATGATTTGGAAGCTGCTATATATAGTTATACATGTTTACTAACATAATTATATGCAAGTAGCATATAGCAACACTACCTGATTCACAAGAAACAATCAGGTATGTTTCAACTGACATGGTCAGGAAGTTTACCTAGTATGAGTAAGCAGATACCTCTATGATATAAGCATATGGTATCATCTCTGACAAGAGCATATAATGATGCTGCCATATGAGCTCAAAGTTATCTCTTCTACTTGCAAGAGTTACTAAAACCTCTATTATGAGCCAAGAGGTATTACTGACATGAGTAAGCAGATGATGCTATGATATGAGTATGGATTTTGTTGCTCAGGATATGTTCTTCCTCTTTGGTATGAGCATGGCATCTCCACAACAAGAGCAAAGACATAAAATTTCTATGCTCATTTAATGGATGTATATAACCGCATGTTTTCAAGAGCATGACAGACAAGTACCTTTGTGTATTTTATCCTCCATAATATTAAGTGCTGTTTTGTTAATCTCAAATTAATTTATTATGCTAAGTACAGCTACATTCAACACACACATGTGGCAGCAACGGTGGCAGCACCAGTGGGAGAAGGGTGGGGCAAGACCCTCCAGTCAGCCACAGCTCACTGAACCAGAAAAGAAAAAGAAACCCTCTATTTATTTCTTTTCTTGTATAATTCTTCACTCATAATATGTTCAAAAATGTCTAAGAATATCTTTAAACAGCCAATATTGTGGGGGGGGGGGGGTTAGGACAGCAATCTTTTTGAATGTTATTTAACATAAAAAAATAGAACTAAATTTTATAGGTCTACTTTATTATAATGATTTAAAATACTAAATTAAGAGTAAGATAAAAAAAAAACTTTCAGAAGGTACGACTACCACATTTAAATTTAGGAAGAGATAAATATAACATACAGTATATACGATTCTAAGAAAGTTTACAGAGTGCATGCTAATATAATGTAAATGTATACATTATATATAAATACAATACATATCATTCCATAAGGTAAATTTAGCACATACAACATACATTATTAGAAGGGATGTTAAAATGCATTTCACAACTCAATTTATCATTCTTTGACCAATGAACTTTAAACCTCAAAAAATGGCTATATGACATGATTTGGAAGCTGCTAATATGGACAGTCATACATGTTTACTAACATAATTATATGCAAGTAGCATATAGCAACACTGCCTGATTCACAAGAAACAATCAGGTATTTTACAACTGACATGGTCAGGAAGTTTACCTAGTATGAGTAAGCAGATACCTCTATGATATAAGCATATGGTATCATCTCTGACAAGAGCATATAATGATGCTGCCATATGAGCTCAAAGTTAACTCTTCTACTTGCAAGAGTTACTAAAACCTCTATTATGAGCCAAGAGGTATTACTGACATGAGTAAGCAGATGATGCTATGATATGAGTATGGATTTTGTTGCTCAGGATATGTTCTTCCTCTTTGGTATGAGCATGGCATCTCCACAACAAGAGCAAAGACATAAAATTTCTATGCTCATTTAATGGATGTATATAACCGCATGTTTTCAAGAGCATGACAGACAAGTACCTTTGTGTATTTTATCCTCCATAATATTAAGTGCTGTTTTGTTAATCTCAAATTAATTTATTATGCTAAGTACAGCTACATTCAACACACACATGTGGCAGCAACGGTGGCAGCACCAGTGGGAGAAGGGTGGGGCAAGACCCTCCAGTCAGCCACAGCTCACTGAACCAGAAAAGAAAAAGAAACCCTCTATTTATTTCTTTTCTTGTATAATTCTTCACTCATAATATGTTCAAAAATGTCTAAGAATATCTTTAAACAGCCAATATTGTCAAGTTTTTTTAAGTGGCAGTTGGACTTAAACCTCCACAAGTGCTAAATTTCTGGACCCTGCTGACCTTCACCAAGAATCATGAGACCTTCCTGTTGTACACTTAACCTTCAATAGGGCAAATCCTGGTGCCACCACTGCATATCAAGGTATTAATGTATGCTGTATTAGGGTGTTGTTGTCAATAGGCTTTTTATTGTTTATTGTACAGTACTTTAACATGTGCATGTTTATATATTCCATAGCTAAGTGCCATGCTCTAAGGTGTTCTGCATATACCATCATAGTTCTTTAAAAATAATTATCATAAATTTCTTAATTCTGCAATCTTATTAATAAATTTCCTGATTCTGTACATCTACATGTATGTATATCTGCATATATTGTATAATTTGTGAATTTCGTACTTGCAGTGTACAGAGCACAGCCCATTTATATACTTCACTGTTACTGAAATATGTAACATTCATTACATATAGAATTTAAAATTCTGTATCAGTTATTGAGATAATTGTAAAGGCTTCAGTATAGGCTGAATCTAACCACTATGTTTAGGAACAAAAATATTATTATTATTTTATTGAAAATATCTACTTGACGTATTTGAAAAATGGTACATACCATTGAGGCAAGGGGGGCACTACCATTCGCTGGAACACCATCTGATGTCAGAGCTGTAAACAGAAAAATAAACCAATGTCAAGAATATGTCTAATGATACAATTAAATAATTAAATATCTGATTTGGATTTGGAAGTCTTGTTTCATGTGGGGTACTTCTGTAGTAGTATACCGAAAATAGCATACTCCATTCCAACGACTGCTCCATTCTTGGTGTGCATGAGCCTTACTGCACACAGGACCAACACCTTAAAAGTCCCTCCTGTAAGATGCCTCATCACAACAATTTAGGGATGGATGGATATTTAACATAAAATGATAAATGCGGGCTCAAGAAATAAATTTGATATATACTGGGAATGCAATTTTTGGTTTGAATTTTCATGATTTTTCGTTATTAGTTTACCACAGCCTTGTTTTTCATTATCAGCAGAAACATCGACTGTAACAAGAACGACAACAACAGTAATAAGAACATAAAATTGCCCGTGGAACATAACAAAATACATTAATGAGTGCAATACATAGTGATCTGAACATAACATAAACACAAAAAAGAACATTACTGTAATCCGGGGATAGTAGAACAATACAATGAAACAAAACATAAACTTTAAACAATGAAACTACCTCATTATAAGTACTACTGCTAAGATAAATCATATAATATATCACTAAGATATAACAACATTACAATATGTGCCTATATTATTTGTCAGAGGAGGGCAGAAAAAACTAAATTTTAATTAAATTTTGTTTTCTTATTTAGCAAATAGTTTTGCCAAAAACATTCATCAGGAGGAGAAAATAAAAATTAAATTTTATTGGTGAATGTAAACAGTGTAGTAATGGGATGTTAAATGCTTCAAAGATGTATTGTCCCTTGATAATGTCAAAAAAATCATAAAAAATAATTTTGAAATAAACTTGCTCATATTGCAATAGAATACAAATTATTAACTTGTGCATAAAAATTATTGAATTTAAAAAATGTGTACCCTGATTTTTAAACAAAAAAATTATAATAAAAATAATAAAACACTTCCGGTGACTGGAAGTGTTTCTATCATTTTTCACTGTAAACTGATGGGTAGACGTTTTTTAAATACACTAATTTCTATGTTCAAGTTGATAACGTTTATGTTACTTCAAAATGGGCAAATTAATTTCAAAAAATATTTTAAAGATTTTTTTGATATTTAGCATGGGGCAATACATCTTTAAATTTATATAATTAGGAAGAAATATACATATCTTATTTTGGAGTTTTCAAGGCAGCGGCGGGCGTAATAAAAATACAGAAAATCTTTTTTTTTCTGAGATTTTTTTTTCATGGCAGCGGGTGCGCTAATTTGCCAAAAATGAAATTTTATTTTTATTTTTATTCAAAATCATCACTATTGGAGGGCGGTGGGTTCGCTAAAACAAGCTATAAAAAAAGTCTCAGTCCAGTAATGGGATGGTTAAAGGCTTTAAATTTATATAACTAGGATGAATTATACATATCTTATTTTTGGAGATATCAAGGCAGAGCTAGGCATAATAAAAATATAGAAAAACTTTTTTTTCTGAAATTTCCATTTTGCCATTGCAGCGGGTGTGCTAATTTGCTAAAAATGAAATTTTTATCTTTATTCAAAATCATCACTATTGGAGGACGGTGGGTTTGCTAAACAAGCTAAAAAAAAGTCTCAGTGTAGTAATGGGATGGTTAAAGGCTTTAAATTGATATAATTATGAAGAAACATACATATCTTATTTTTGAAGATTTCAAGGCAGAGGCGGACATAATAAAAATATAGAAAAACTTTTTTTCCTGAAATTTCCATTTTGCCATAGCAGCATGTGCGCTAATTGGCTAAAAAAGAAATTTCATTTTTATTTTTATTCAAAATCATCATTATTGGAGGATGGTGGGTTTGCTAAACAAGCATGAAAAAGTCTTGCCT